AAAAAAAAAAAAAAAAAAAAAAAAAAAAGACATGTCTCAAGAGAATGTTCTCCCTTCCCTTATTGCCACAGGGTTCCATCCAGGAACAACAGTAAAGTAAGGGCCAGAACAACTACAGAGTGGCTGAAAGTAGGGAAAGACTCATCCTGGGAGATAAAAACAAGGATGGAAATTCTTGTGGTTACAAGGTTGGGACAGCTGCTCCTAGAAAGTCAATTACATATAAGTGACATAAGTATATACACACACAATACACACTCATGCCGCATATAGTCCTCATATACTTACGAAGCCCCGGGTATACTGATTCAGGCTATCAACTGCTGCGATCTTTGATAGTTTTTCCTTTACATATATAGGAGGGGATATATCTGGAAGGCCTTGGCCAAGATTCACAACAGAGGGGTCTGCAGCCAACTTGGTAAATTCAATCCTAAACTTAAAAAAAAAAAAAAATATATATATATATCAATACTAGTAAGTACTATTATTACAATGTTTGTGTTTTACATCTCATGATCTTATTATAAAACTGAAAAATAAAACCTAGTTTAGTCTTAGAAATAAAAAGAGTCCCCAACGCAAATTTCATCACCCCAAAAATGAGTGTACCTAATAAAATGATGACTAAGTTAATGAACTTAATGTTCCTTATGAACCTCAATTCCATGATACACATTTTTAACCATATATATGAGGGTACTTCAAAAAGTTCATGGAAAGTTAGTGTTATCTTTTAATTCTACTTTTCCAAGAACTTTTTGAGGTACCCTTGTATATTTTTCTAAACTAGTCCACCTGCTGCTAGGCTCTGTAATCAACTGCTAGAGAATAGAACTAATAAGAAAAGTTCATGGATTAGGAGGTAAGTTCCAATGAGGTCATCAACTAAATTTGTCTTTTTCTCTGCCGTATGTCCAGTGCCTAGCACAAGACTTGGAGCATTTGATTTGAATAAATCAATATATGAAGTGCTAAGTTCCTGCCACTTCCATTCAATGGATGAATTAAATGAGTGGCTTTATGTACAGACTATGGATGAGGCTAAAAATTCCCAACTAAGGATATAAAAATATGTAGGAAAACCTCACCAAATTATCATATATTCCAAAATACGCACCACACATTACTATCAAGTCCTTCAATCCGTTTTGCATTTTTGAATTTCGAAGACATTTTCTGAAAGATATAAAATTTGAAAGGGTTTTTAAATTGTGTTAATCAAAATTCAAAAATGCCCATAAATCTTTTCCTTTTCCCTGTTGTTACTATGTGAATAAGTAGTTCCATAAAGATAAATTCCAGACACCAGTATAAAATTCTAAAGAGGAATCCATCTCCCAACCAGTGCTCTAAGGAATGTTTTTTCTTATGAACGTCCAATGTTCATCTTCTTACCCAAGGACAAAAATATCCTAGCCTAAAAAGTTAATCAAAACAAAGGCCTGATATATACTAAAAAAAATTTCTGAAGATCATTTTATGTAAGATATACTAAAAGTCTCACGAGTAAGTTCCTTATATGGCATACAGGACGCACTCAACAAATGGGTTTTTTTGTTTTGTTTTTTTTTGTCTTTTTCCATGTCCGGCAACGGATCGCAACCCTCAGTG